GTAGCGCCACTTCTGTGACGTCATAGAAGTGTTCAAATCTGGATCAGCCAGTATCAGATCCGTTGCAGCCCCTTTTTAAGAGATTTGGGTATGGAGGAAAATAGAGAGGGTTGTGTTTTCTGACACTTGGTGAGTTCCCTGGAACACCGGGGACACATATTCATGTATAAAAGATGTACAAAAGTGCATTTTGCATGATAGGTCACCTTTAAAGTACAAAGGGAATTAATTGATTCATAACCCACCTTGTTAAATTAGCATACATCATGATTTTTAGGCTAGTGTTGAGGTATTTTCAAGACGAAAAGCTAGTCAAAGAGAGGTCATGAGTCAAGTTTTATTTCATGTTGTCACATTGATTCTAACGTTTCAAATGTCTAACCCCACTATGATTAAAGTGGAAGTCATGTAACTCTAAGTGACACTAATTGCATCTGTGTGATTAAGAAGTTAAAATAGGGAAGTATACAGGTATATATCCTGACATACAGTATGAGAGTTATATATAACTCCTCATACACCATGATCACCCACCCCATGGCTTCTTAATAATGGCACTAAACAAATGAACATCTTTCAGTTTCTTTTGTATAACGGGTCAAGCCAAAAAACTAACTTCGTTAAAATCATTTTCTCAAAAACCAAGTAAAGTAGCAGTAAAAAAATAACCTGCGTCAGTGTTAATGGCACTTGGCCTCTATAACAATGTCATTTACAACCCAGTTACACCCCATAGACCCCTCAAGGAAAGGACAGGAACATGGCATTCACTGCAAAGTATAGAGCATCCATCTTGTGTGTATTATTTAAGTCGAAATACTCAAAACAAGTATGTCACATTTGTACTTTAGACAGTACTTTTTTCACGTGTCCCTTCTCCTCTTTCGTATTAAAAACATACTGAGAGCTGTATGCTATTTCTTAGTATTTTGTTGTTTGTTTAAAGGACAAAAAAAATCTAGAGGCATGTTTGAGTGAGCCCGTGTTTGCCTGCATGTGTGCGCCCACTCCGGTATGCGTACAGTATATACTGCCACATGTGTGTGCCGCTGGTGTCTGTGTGCTTTCAGCTGAAAGTTAAACATGTTGGCCTGAGGTTGAGGAAAGGTGTGTCTCCCCACCTTCTCCCACCAAACTCTATTCAGAGGTGTAAATACTCGCTGTGTGCTCCTGCACTCAGTGACGCACACTTACCCTCCATATCCTCAAAGGGGAAAGTATTAGAAGCCGATTTGCTCTAATTTTGTGCTTATTTGCCGCCTTGCTGTTTGTTCAGCAGCTGCACACAGATGAAATAGAAACATCAGGTTTGCTCACCATCACTCATGTCAATCAGTTGTTGCATGGTAACATATCTGAAAGAGCAGCACAGAAAGTCAGACATTTTTATACCACAGCACGTCTAAACATATCTTTTATTGCTTTTTTTTACAGGGTAAGTTTGCTCGGTGACACATACTCTTTTTTGATCAACATTTAAGCACATTCACAGCTATATGGCCTCCTCAACCACAGGTTTCTAATGTTGGCAGCAGAGAAGTTTCACTGAAGAGATGCTGAGTGTTTCCCTCTGTGTAGGCCAGTCCAAATGGCGCTGTTTAAGTCACAATAATGCCTTTAATGCATCCTTGTTTCCTAATAAGTACATTCACACACAATGAAAATGCATCGTCATCAACGTTTTGAGGGAAACTTATTTTGTCAGATCAGCTTCTAATCAAAGTCCATGGAAGTTCACATGTGGAGGAAGTCGATTCAAGAAGCAGAAAAACATGATTTTTAACCAGAAGACCAAAAGTGTCAAATCTGATCTTTTCTAAAACTATCTCCACGATCCCTTCGAAAGAAATGTCATAATTCAGTATGAGACAGTTAGTGCCATTGATCAACATTTAAAATGCCAAAAAGCAAACTCCTTGGCGCTTTGTTACACGGAAAATCCGTCGAATAACCACAGAGTAACTACTCACTTATTAAAGCGATCTTTTGAGTATTTTATTGTCAACGTGACGAGAGCCAATGCTGCTGTTGAGTCACCTACAGCTCTTCTGTTGCCCATGAGAAAAAACATTAAATGTCAGACAAAGAAACTGTTTCTAGTCTACGAGACCATTGCCAGGTTTTCCACTGTATGGCTTACACTATGAAACAAATTCTCCAAAATATGGAGGGTTATTCCCCCTCACACATAATGAGTCATGTGTTAAGAACATAGACGTTACATTATGACTTAAAATGTGACGGTTAAAAGATTTTGTCATGGAAATGGCTTCAAACAACTTTGCTACTTTACTTTCCTTTTCCACTTAGATTAGTTCCTGTTGAGTAATGTAAACGGACTAGTGTTCGTTCACTGTTGGTTTAACTTGGGAACCCGCTTTTCCACAGATTAGAGCCTGATAGGCGCTGCGTCATGACATCCATATGGAAGTCCCTGCATTTCCCAGCATTTTTTTTGGTTTTTCAGTTGAATTATACTTAAAGTTCAGGGTAATCAACTGTTAAAAACATACTATTCAAAAAGTTTTTCTCCAATAAATGGATGTTTTCAAAGTCAATGAATAATCGCAATTACAATTATTGACCCAAATAATCGAGATTCTGATTTTTGCCATAATCGAGCAGCCCTACTTTATACTGTACTATACGATAATACTTTAATGGTCGGATCAAGTCTGAAATTTGACAGCAGCTCCATTTGCAACATCAACATGGACAAATATCAAGACACAATGCACGAAAAAACACACATTTAACATAACATCACAATCACTGAGAGAAACATGCTCAAAGACCCTTTAGCGTGCTTTTGATCTGGGATTTAGCTCTGATCCTCTTCTCCAAACTCTGCACCAAGTGTTTTTGCTCTTGTAAAATCAAGCATCAGCTTCCGCAGTTATCCTCTTACATATTTGGTTCTTGGTGCTGGCCGGGGAGAGAGAGTTGGTGCCTGAGTTGAACACATTTTTAAGAACCGGGAGCTGGTGCCTCTGCTATTGAAGCATAAAAAAACTGGTTTAAATGGTTTCTCTGGCTCCATACCAGACGCTGACACGGCCTCAGTGGAAAAGCACTTATTGTCAAGAAATGTTATAACATGTAAATGCTTGTTTTAGGTGGATATCTTTCACCAGTTTCTGATTTCATCAGGCGATTGAATGGCCACTTTATTTCACTACTATAATATTTCAGAAACGGTCAAACTTCAACCACTAGTAGGCCAGAGGATGCACGTCCAACGTTATGAAGAGTCAAATACCTCATTCACACCAACGCAACTCCGGTTCAAGCTCCGTGCTAGAGCTTTTCATGTTCAGAACCGGTTCTTCGATTTAGCTCCGGCTCTTTTCACAACGCCCAGAGTCCGACTGGTGCTGCGTCATTGCGTCATCGTTTGCGTCA